CTAAGAATTTTGTTTGGAGACCTCTGCATACCAGTTGAAAAATGCTGCCCATTAGGCCAAATAAATATTATTCCCTTTTTCTTCTCAAATAAATAACTGTGCTCAAATCCAATGTTCCCCCAGAGTAGTTACTAAAGGCCCAAATCATCCTTGGTGAAGTTATGTCATTTAGAAAGATAGGCACAAGGATTAGTGTTGTAAAGAGAGTACATATAAGAAGCAGGAGTTTTTCCAGATAAAAGAGAGGATTTAGACTTAGATGACCCTATGAGAGCTTGCAACAGTCATTGGAATGTGTTGCTTATGCACCCATTTCTCAGGTCTCCTGCCAGAGTTAGTCATCTCCAAAAGCAAACTCCCCAATCTGCCCCCAGAAGGCAGAAAAAAAAAAAAAAAAACATGGAGAACACTCTCTCTGGACAAAAGCTAAACTCTCAGGACACAAAATCAAGACAGAAGGACAACCTCAGCCAGATTTATTTGTGACAGCAAAGTTTCTCCAAGTGACAGTGGTTAAGTGAGAACTGCAAACGCACTAGTCTGTGAGGTCAGCTCAAGTCACAGGTTTCTAGGCCCTATGCCTGTGTTCTACCTTGTGATTCTTCTTCTTAGGACAGCACAACACAAAACAATGACACAAAGATAGCAAAAAGTTATTAAAAAGAATGGCCTGACTCCCGCAAAGATGCCCAGATTTGGGAACCAGTAACAAAACCTAGATACCGAACAGAATAAACAGCCAAGGAACTCAATGCAGAGAGAGAGAAGTTGAGACGCAGTGCTGACTTACCATGTCAGCACTGTCAGCAGCAAGACACACAGAACCTTTAGGGGTTCCACATCTGCCTGAAGGCAATAAGCAGCACAGACCATATTTAATTGGGACCTCCACTTTAATTGTAGAAATAAGCAAAGACCAACCAAATGAGAAGAGCAAAGCCTATTTATTCAGAGCTTGCTATAGTGAGGGAGTCAGCCACCATCACTGTGTTTAGCAGAGACTCAAAGGCAGGCAGAAGAGTGGGAAGGCCTTATAGTAGAATAAATGGAAGACTTCAGATATGCTCTGTTTGGAGGTTGTTGGAATGGGGGAGCTATAGGTGGACAAACTAGACCCTGGGCATCCATGTCATTGGTTAGGGGTGCATATTTGGATTTCTCCAGTTGGTCCGAAGTTGGAAACAGGGGCAAAAATTGGGGAATCTATCAGTTATTAAGCAAGTCCTGGCTGCTTTTGGCCAATTAATAGAAGTTATTGTTTGACTTTCTGAACTGGTTGCTGCAGATAATGGTTTGGCTTTCTAGACTGATTACAACAGACAATGAGTTGGTTTCCTGGGCTGATTGCTACAGGTTATGGGTCAGAACTCTATTTTTATACAGACAATGGTCTGGCCATTGTCATTGGTATGTTTAGTCTCTCAGCACAGAGTCTTCAACCCAGCAATTTCACTCCAGGAAATTGGTCTTACATCGATGAAATGAGCTGCGTACAAGGTTATACATGGTAACGTTGTTTTGATAGAAAAAAGAAAAGATTGAAAACAAACAAAATGTCTATCATCAGGGCACAAGACAAATTAGTGAGGGTGTAACCCTGTAACGGAATACTAAATAAGTGTCCTTTTGTGTTCCCAAAGTCCATTGTACAGGCTTTGATCACAGAGCTCAAATGGTATCCATTCACATGTCAGACCACTCTAATACATTCTTAAGGACTCAAGGCAAAATTTAACTTTATTAACTTTTGTGCCCTCTCAGTAAATATTTGTCAATTGAGAGTGAAATACAGGGTCCTATTCCTTTCCAACGAGAGGGTAGGCAGTGATAAAAAAAAACAGTGCAGAGTTTAAATTTCACTAATAGGAAAACACAGTTCTAAATATTAAAGCATTGTTTAACAAGTTTATTCTACCCTGACTTTGGATGTCAGAACATATTTGCAGAAGCAATTTGACTGTTTAATTCAAAGTAAATAAGATTTTGGAGAAATCTAAAAGAAGGGGTCAGCAAACCTTTTTCTCTAAAGGGTCAGATAGTAAATATTTTAGGCTTTGAGGGCCATATTGCATCTGTCACCTATTCTTGTTTTCTTTGTTTATTTATTTATATATATATATATTTATTTATAGAGCACACGGTGGTGGAGGGGCAGAGGGAGAGAAAGAGAGAATCTCAAGCAGACTCCGTGCAGAGCACAGAGTTGACACAGGGCTTGATCCCATCACCCGGAGACCATGACCTGAACTGAAATCAAGAGTTGGATGCTCAACTGACTGAGCCACCCAGGCGCCCCTCCTTTTAACCATGTTTTATTTTTATTTTTTTAAAGATGTTATTCATTTATTTATTTATTTGACAGAGAGAGACACAGCGAGAGAGGGAACACAAGCAGGGGGAATGGGAGAGGAAGAAGCAGGCTTCCCGCGGAGCAGGGAGCCTGACGCGGGGCTTGATCCCAGGACCCTGGGATCATGACCTGAGCCGAAGGCAGACGCCCAACAACTGAGCCACCCAGGCGCCCCAACAATGTTTTAAAAATGTAAAACCTTCCTTATTTCAACGGCTGCATATATAAGACATAAACTGGATTTGAGGTACACAGATCCCTGTCTAAAAACCAATGTTTACTAATTTCTTTCTATTTTTAAGAGAGCATTTTGGAGAAGGATCTAAGTATGACTATCCAAATATCAGTGGAAGGGTATAAAATGGACTTCTTCAGGCAAAGAAACAATACAGAGATTGAAATGACTTCTGGAACTTTAGAATCAGAATCACATGGAGGACTTGTTAAAACCCAGACTGCAGGGGTGCCTGGTTGGCTCAGTCGTTAAGTGGTTAGAGGTAGAATCACTAAATGAAAGCCTCCAAGATCCTTATTTTGTGCAATCTTTCCTTGGCTCTGTCAGTAATCTCTGCTTGTGACTGCAAATTCTTTAGGCATTGATTCTCTTCTTAGCTGCCAGTGTATCTGGCAATTTGTAGATGTCACACTGAAATTTCAGTCCACCCAACACGGAGGACAAAAGGAAGAAAATGTTGTCAAACCAGTAGCATGCCCTAAGGAGCAGCTCCGGAACAAGAATACAGCAGGAGTCTAGGAGTGTGATCCCCTTTTGAACTGAGACCCACTGTGCCCCTCTCTGAGGTGAGCCCTGGTCCCCAAGGCTGCTGACCTGCCATGGACCACAATGGAATACGGTGACAACCTGCATAACCTGTGGGACCAGTTCAGTCAATCTTTAGGGGCCGTAGGCTCCAAGACAGTTTGAGATGCAATCCTTTTTTTTTTCCTATTTTTCTATGCATTTATTTTATTCTATTCACATTGTACAGCTGTTACACAACCTACAAAAAGTACAAAAGCTTAACCATTTTCCAATGCCAGTTCAGAGTTAAGTGGCAAGAAAGGAAAACGGTGTAGTAAGTTACAAGAAGAATTTGGGTGCCCTGTACAAGTCACACTGTCTGTCACATGATGTATTTGGAGCTGTGAATGTTGCCACAGGAGAATCTGTTGTCTTTGTGGGGACCACGCAGCTTCTGTCAAGGGGCTTCCTTAGTTTGATGTGTCTTTTCTTTCAAGGACGGGAGGAATGAGACTTTGAATAGGTCTGACATGGATTGTTTCTACTCAATAAATGTCAAAATTCATTTGGCATTTGCAACAGAGTTGTTTGAAATAAACTTTGTTCCAGAAATGCACCACAAGTAAGCACTCTCCCATCTGGTTTTACAAATTTTACAGTGAAAATACCATATTTTTGTTTCAAAACCCAGACGTTGAGCTTTCTGAGTGGACTGGTGGCATCTCTTTGTGCGTCCTTTCCCGAGGACTTGCATCATCTGTCTACTCCCGCTCATCGTGCTGCCGGAGTTCCTCCTGCCCGTCAGCCTCTGGCTTGGATGTTGGTGGCAGTTGTTGCTGGCTGGCCTCCACACTGTCTGAAAAAGCCTTCCTTTCCTCATCTTCTCTGTCCTTCCACAGCTGGATCAAGCCCCTGCAACCCACCGCCATGAATAGACCACCGAAACTGGCAAGGGTGTCTTATGGCCGGTGCCGCCCCAGGAGGAATGGCTGTACCAGGTGTGAGGCCCACCCATGGACTCACCAGCTTGTCCATCTATTGGCCTTGGCCTTGCAAAGCCGCAGGCTCCAGCTGGGGTTCCTCTAGGAGAGAATGGCCTTGAGCTGGGCCCTCTTGCAATGGTCTATGTAGGAGATGGAGGCATTCGTGGATACCGGAAAAGCTGGTGTGCCCAGGAGAGTGGGAGGACTGGTGTTTTGCCCCTAGTCAGGCTATCTGTGCTCAGAAAGTCCAGGTGGGCCAAAGGCAGCATTTTCCCATAGCCTTGGTATAAGCCGTAGGGAATGAAACAGAGCACTCTGCTCACCCGGTGCCCAGGTGCAGCACAATATCCTATGTCCTTGTTTGCCATCCATCTTCATTTACCTCTTGATCAAGTTGGTTCTCCATCCTTTTTTTGGTGTAGTCAGATGTTGGTGTCAGTTTGGTTTAATTGCCTTCCTGAAGGCTGTTAACCTATGCCAGTTTTTCTCATTGTCCTTATCACACAATACGTATGTATTTCTCCTGGCATCAAAGAACAGCTTATTCACTGAGTTCATTTATGTCAAGCACTTAGAACAGTACCTGGCACATAACCTGTGCTATACAAGTCTCAAGTCTGAGCACTTGTTATTGTTATTCACAGCACCTAGCACAAAGCTGGACTCTTAGTAAGAGCTCAGTACATATTTTTTTTGAAGATTTTATTTATTTATTTTTGCAAGAGAGAGACAGAGAGACAGAGACAGAGGGAGAGAGTGTGGGGGGAGGGGCAGAGGGAGAAGCAGACTCCCAGCTGAGCCTGGAGCCTAATGCGGGACTTGATGCCAGGACCCTGGGATCATGACCTGAGCTGAAGGCAGACACTTAACCAACTGAACCACCGAGGCGCCCAGTATTTTTTAAGTGAATGAATAAACAAACAATATGAGTTATAATTATGAGCAACCCCCCACCAAGGTTCTTGTAGTTACACCTGTTGTAACTTGGCAAAGTCCAGACCACACACAGCTGACATTGGAAGAGTCCTCCTCCCCCCAACTGCTCCACAGTCTGAAGCCTGTGTCCATCCTAAAGGTAAGACTGTATTGGCTCAAGGAGAAAGTTCTAAATAATGGAGGAGTTTCTGCACAGATAGCGCTCTTGCAAACATGGACTTTCTGCAAGAAGTGTGAGAAGCACCAAGCCCACAAAGTGACACAGTGCAAGAAAGGCAAAGTTCCCCTTCATGCCAGGCATTATGACAGGAAGCAGAGTGGCTATGGTGGGCAGACTAAGCTGATTTTCTGGAAAAAGGCTAAAACTACAAAGAAGATTGTGCCAAGGCTTGAATGTGTTGAGTGCAACTGCAGATCTAAGAGAATGCTGGCTATTAAGAGATGCAAGCATTTTGAACCGGGAAGAGATAAGAAGAGAAAGGGCCAAGCGATCCAGTTCTAAGATTCATATTTTGTTATAGTATGATGACAATAAAATCTTTTTTTTTTTAAGGGAAAGCTTTTTTTTTTAAAAGATTTTATTTATTCATTTCAGACACAGAGATAGAGAAAGAGAGAACATGAGCAGAGAGAGGCAGAGGGAGAGGGAGAAGTGGGCTCCATGCTGAGCCAGGAGCCTGATGTGGGGCTCGATCCCAGGACCCTGGGATCATGACCTGAGCCGAAGGCAGACGTTTAACCGTCTGAGCCACCCAGGTGCCCCGATGACAATAAAATCTTGATGTTATGTTCACTTCTAAATAAATAAATAAATAAATAAAGGAGGAGCCATCATCACTTATAGGGAGGAGAAAGGAAGATTACGAAACTAATGGGGTATACGACCACAGAGATGATGCCAGTTATCAGCCACATGTAAATTCTAACACATGAATACATGAAAGTCTTCAAGTTCTCCCGATACTTATACCCAATCTGACTAAAAGAAGGGGACTTGCTAACGGAAGAAAAACTTTGAAAACACTGGGAGCAGGGGCACCTGGGTGGCTCAGATGGTTAAGCATCTGCCTTTGACTCAGGTCATGATCCCAGGGTCCTGGGATCGAGCCCCATTTCAGGCTCCTGACTCAGCAGGGAGCCCGCTTCTCCCTCTTTGTCTGCCTCTCTCACTGCTCATGCTCTCTCTCTCTGAATCTCTGCGTCTCAAATGAATAAATAAAATCTTAAAAAAAAAACACGGGGAGCAAAAGCCATTTTAAGTTATTTCATTTCTAATTCTTTTAAATAATATTTTCTTGTTAATTAAAAAAAGTATATGTCCAAGACCACTGTGAGGAACTACAATAATAAGCATAGTCAAAATTCTGACTCTCAAAAACCTGAGGTAAATTTTGTTTCCTCAGGGAGCCAAAAAACTATTGAGTGTGTATATGGGTGGTACATTCAATCAAAAATAGACTCTTTTGGGGGCACCTGGGTAGCTCAGTCATTAACTTCCTTCCTTTGGCTCAGGTCATGATCTCAGGGTCCTGGGATCGAGCCCTGCATCCTGCTCCCTGCTTCTCTGCCCCTCCCCACCTGCTCACACATTTTCTCTCTCTCTCTCTCAAATAAATAAAATCTTAAAAAAAAAAAAGAAAGATGAAGAAAAGAAGAAAGAAAGAAAGGAATTAGAGGGGTGCCTGGGTGGCTCGGTCGGTTAAGCATCCAACTCTTGATTTCAGCTCAGGTCATGATCTCAGGGTCCTGAGATCAAACCCTGCATCAGGCTTGGTGCTGGGTATGAAGCCTGCTTGATTCTCTTGCTCCCTCTCCCTCTGCCGCTTCTCCCACTCACACTCTCACTTACAGTCTCTGTCTCTCTCACCAAAAGAGAAAAAAAAAGTTTAAGAAATTAGAAAGATTCAAATGAACATTCTAACTTTATACCTCAAGAAACTAAGGAAAAAAAGTAAATTAGCCCAAAGTTAGCAGGAAGAAGAAAATAATAAAGATCAGAGCAGAGATAAATGAACTGGAGACCAGAAGAATAATAGAAACGATAAACAAAACTAAGCGCTGATTTTTTTGAAAAGATAAACACAAAATTGACAAACTTTTAGCTAGACTAAGAAAGAAAAAGACTCAAACAAATTAGAAATGAAAGAAAAGACATTACAACTGATAGTACAAAAATACATAAGATTGTGGGACTACTAGGAAAATTATATGCCAACACATTAGATAGCCTGGAAGATACGGATAAATTCCTAAAGACACACAACCTACCAACACTGAATTAGAAGAAATAGAAAATCTGAACCAACTAATAATGAGTAAAGAGACTGAATCAGTAATCAAAAGCCTACCAACATGGAAAACCCTAGGACCAGATGGTTTCACTAGTGATTTCCACCAAACATTTAAAGAAAAACTAACACCAATCCTTTGCAAACATTTCCAAAAAATTGAAGAGTTGGGAAAACTTCCAAACTCATTCTACAAGGCCAGCATTACCTGATACCAAAGGCAGATAAGGCCACTATAAGAAAACTATAGACCAATATTCCTGAAGAAAATATATGCAAACATTCTCAACAAAATATTAACAAACCAAATTCAAAAACACATTAAAAAGATTACACACCATGACCAAGCAGGATTGATCCCTGGGATGCAAGTACTGTTCAACATGTGCAAAGCAATAAATGTAATGCATCACATATTAATAGAATAAAAGATAAAAATCACATAAATATCACAAAAAATGCAGGAAAAGCATTTGACAAAATAAAACATCTTTTCATGATAAAAACCCTCAATAGTTTGGATACAGAAGGAACATGCCTCAACGTAATAAAGGCCGTTTATGACAAACCCACAGCTAACATTATACTCAAAATTCAAAGTGTTTCTTCTAAGATCAGGAATAAGATAGGATGCCCACTCTCACCATTCTTATTCAGTATAGTGCTGGAAGTCCTAGCTAGAGAAATTAGGCAAGAAAAAGAAATAAAAGGCATATAAATCAAAAAAGAAGAAAATTGTTGCTATTTACAAACGATATGATTTTGTATATAGAAAACCCCAAAGACTCAGCCACAAAGCTGTTGGAACTAATCAACTATTTCAGTAAAGTTGCAGGATATAAATCAACATACAGAAATTACATTTCTGTACACTAATAATTTAACATCTGAAAAAAATCTTGAGGACATTATGCTAAGTGAAGTGAGTCAGACAGAGAAAGACAAATGCTATATGATATCACTTATTTGTGGAATCTAAAAAGGCCAAACTCATAGAAACAGAGTATAATAGTCATTACCAGGATGTAGGGGTAGAGATGTTCGACAGATGTTAAGGGTATAAACTTGCAACAACTAGTAAATAAGCCCAAGAAATCTAATGCATAGTGTAGTAACTATAGACAACAATATTGTATTGTAATCACCAAACTTGCTAAGAGACTAGAACTTAATTATTCCAACCACTAGAAAGAAATAATTATGTAATGTAATAGAGGTGCTAATTATTGCTAAAATGGTGATCATATAATATATACATGTACCAAATTAACATGTTGTACATCTTAAATCTACACAGTTATATCTCAAATATATTTCAATTTAAAAATGAGATGCACAATATTAATAATAGCTAACAATAAAAAATGTCCACCAACGGTTAAATGTATAAACGTAATGTGTATATACCCATAATGGAATATTATTCAACAGGAAAGAAAACCCAATGCATTTTGCAATATGGATAAACCTTGGAAATATTATGCTAAGCAAAATAAACCAGATTAAAAGAACAAATATTGTACAATTCCACTTATATGATGTACCTAGAATTGGCAAATTCAATATAGAAATATCTATTAAATGTTTTTTGCTTTTGTCCTTTTAGAATTTTTTTATCATTCCATTTGCTTTCTTCTTGACTTATGTTATTGTTGTATTAACTCTATCTTGTTTTTCCAATCCCACAAGGCATTGTCATTATTTGTTTATTGGTTATTTAGGCTTAACAGATGTTTACCACTGTCTTTATTCTTTCTCGCACATCAGATCTTCCATTAGGATTATTTTCTTTTGCTTGAAATGTATTCATTAAAATATTTTAGTTTTATTTTAGTGAGGACCTGTTTTCATCATCAGAAAATGCCTTTTTTTACAAACTCATTTTTGAAAAGCTATCTTTTGTTCATTACAGAGTGCGAGAATGACAACTATAATCTTTCAGCACTTTGCCTTCTGATTTCCACATTGATTTTGTTGAGAAATCTGCTTTCACTCTGTAATTTGAATATATTTGCTTTTGCAATTTTCCTTTTGTCTTTCTCTTTCATTAGTTAGGATTTTGTTACTTTATTGTGTTATTTATATGAAGCTAGATGAGGATTTCTTTTTACTTGGTAGACTTCTTGAATTTGTGAATTGGTCTTTTATTAGTTCTAGAAAAGCTTCAGCCATTATCTCAAATATTACCTCTCTCATTCTCTCTCTGGTTTTTTGTGTTTTTTTTTTTTTTCTTTTTTGAAACTCCAGTTAGACATCTGAGAGCTCACTTTCTAACTCTTCTTTCATCTTTTGTACCTTTTTGTTTCCTCATTCTACATTCTGAATTATTTATTCTGATCTTTCAGTTTACTAATTTTCTCTTCAATAGAGTTGAGTCTCCTGTTAAACATATTCAACAAATTTTTAAAGTTCAGTTTTTCTATTTTCCATTTCTATTTGGTTTTTCTTTATATTCACCAGGTCACTTTTCATAGTGTTCTATTCCTCACATTTTTTTTCTTTAAACGTAGTGAACATGACTATTTTATAATCTATGATAGCCTCACTACCTAAAGTCTTTGCAAGTTTGTTTCTACAAACTTACAATTCTGCCCATGATATAGCTTATCTATGACACTTTTTTTTTTTATTGTGTGCTAGGTGCTGTCATTGAAAAATTATTTGTGGTCATCTTTTTGAGGCCTAAGATGAAGATATTTCTACCCAGTACCTAGTGTCAGGTACCTAGTGGCTCTCAGTCCAGCATCACATTTAAAAAATAATTTTTTAGGGACACCTGTGTGGCTCAGTCAGTTAAGCGTCTGCCTTAGGCTCAGGTCATGATCCCAGGCTCCTGGGATTGAGCCTCTGCCCCTCCCCCTGCTTGTGCTCTCTCTCTCTCTCACTCTGTCTCTCTCTCAAGTAAATAAATAAATTAAATGGCTTTTAAAAATAAATAAATAAATCATTTTTTAACATTTAAACAATGTTGTTGAGATATAAACTACATAAAATAAAACTTGAATACTTTAGTTATATACATATCAGTGACTTTTGACAAATGTTTACAACTGTATGGCCACTACCAACGTCAAGATATAGAACATTTTTCCACAAAAAATTTTCCTGTGTCCCTTTGCACTCTATCTTTTCCACTATTAACCCTAAGGAACCACTAATCTGCTTTCTGTCATTATATATTAGTTTAGCCTGTTTTAGAATTTCATATAAATAG